GATACTGATGAGGATGATTCTGACGATGATGAAAATGAAGATACAGATGAATATGATGATGATGCTGATGCTGATGCTGCTGCTGATGATGATGATGATGATGATGATGATGCTGATGCTGATGCTGATGCTGATGCTGATGATGATGACTGAGGGACCTGCCACCAACATGCAAATTAACAGGTGTCAGGCCACGGCGAGCGAGCTCTCAGGTGGCATGCGCCGCCGTGCATGATCGTGCTGTTTCTGTTGATGATCAGTATGATGCTAACTTTGGTTATGATTGTGATATCGGGGGCCTTCTTGGAGCCACCTTGGGCCACCGTCGACGCTGCATACCCTCGCCAGGAGCCTCGTGCAGACCCCTTGAAGGCAGTACGGACAGGGATAAAGCTCTCCACGAAGATGGAGACGGGTGCTTCTGCCACCTCTTGCCTCGTCTGGCTGGGCCTCTCGCCTGTCAGCGCGCACGGTGAGACCCGCCGACAACGCTCGAGCTAGCAGGTGACAGGTTCCCGTGGCGAGCTAACAGGTGACAGGCGCCTTGGGCTAGCTAACAGGTAACGGCCTCCCGACGAAGAAGTGGAGGAAGGGTGGTGGGCGGCAGAGCGGTACAGAAGGCGCGAAGATGAGGAGGAGTAGGATGAGGAGGAACAGGAGAACGTGGTGGCTGTCGGGAACAGGGATGAATCATATAGCACACGTGTAAGTAAAAATGTGATTCACCCTCCTTACCGGGTTCGTGGGTCACACAATTCAAGTTATTTATGCCCAGGCGCGTGTCATAACAGATTTGGAACTCACAACAAGATACAATCGTGTTGTGCGAAGTTTAAAAAGGGAGTTGCGTACAAAGGAGGAGGAGGAGGAGGAGGAGGAGTTGGAGGAGTTGGAGGAGTTGGAGGAGTTGGAGGAGGAGGGGACGGAGGCGGGCGCGGGTGAGCAGAAGGATGAGCAAACGGAAAAGGAGGAGGATGCGGAAGAAGGAGGACGAGGACGAACAGCAGCAGCAGGAGCTGAAGATGAAGGAGTGGGAGGAGCGTGAGGACCAGGGGAAGGTGGACGAGGGGAAATGATGGGGGCCACAACGATGCAAAAGTACTCGGGTCCAGAACAGAAGCCCGCGGTAGGGCGAGAGAGCCTTCCTGAACGACAGGATCAGAGCGCCGATCAGAAACTGAGGCCGACGCTGCAGGGGGCGCACCATTTTGAAATTTTTAGCAATCGGATTGTGCAGAACACCAAAAAGTTCACCATTGGCCAATCCTGCGTCGTAGAAGCCGTCACTGGAGAGAGCGAGGCATCTTCCGGACAGTGTCAGGGGGCCCAAGAGAGTAGTATTCATAGTGTGTAGTTGTGGAGATGGAGGGTGAAGAGAGGGGAGGTGGAGGAGGAGGAGGAGGAGGAGGAGGCGGCGGAAAAGAAAAAGGACGAGGAGGAGGGGCGAGAGAAAGGAGGGCTGAGGGGGAGGATGGGGGGGGGGGGAAGAGGAAGAGGAGAGGGAAGACAGGAAGGGACAAGCCAGATGCACAAGCGTCATTTCTGTAGAGTTCCACTCTATTTGCGCAGTCGGATGTCAAACAGGGCAGTGATCCCGAGAGGGTACGCGATGCATGGTATAGCGCGGCATAGCATGGCATCGCGTCGAGAAGCGGTTCATTTGGACAACAAGGTCAGTGGGAACTAGACACGACAGGTCGGGAAATGCAAATGGAGGGTCTGGAAAGGGGGAAGCGCAAAATGAGGTCAGCATTGCAGCTGGAGCACGATTCCAAAGGGACAAATCCGCGCAAATAAGACCAGCGTTGCACTGGGAGCACGATTTGGAAGGACTGAAGCGCGGAAACGAAGCCAACGTTGGAGCAGGAACGCGTTCTGGAAAATAACGAAACAATGGAATGAGGTCATCGCTACAGCTGGAACACGATTTGGAAAGATTGGGCATGGGAAGATGGAGCCAACCTTGTAGCGGGAGCGCCATTCTGAAAGCATTAAACACGTTCGGGTTCGAAAAACACATGTGAATTTTCAATTCGGCGGCATCCGCTGTGTAAAGCATTATACCCGGAGAAGGCCAGGACACCTCACCACCGTCTTCGGTGGAGAGGAAAGTAGTATCCGTATTGTGCAATTGCGGAGGGAAGGAGGAGGAGGCGGAGGAGGAGGAGGAGGAGGAGGGAGGTGGTGGGCAGTATCTCGTCAACTGTTCATGTCTCGGTGAATTCCAATAGACCGCTGTGCGGTTAGACCGGGGAGGGGCCCCTCAAGTGAGTTATAAGTCGGCACCCGGCAACGACTGGTTATCAAACCAGGGACACCATGGATAGCGGTAAGATCGAGAAGCCTGACGAATGCATCCCGAAGATGAAGTGCTCATAGGCACGGGTCCGACGAGTGAGAGATAAGACGCCTCAGCCCGCACGCACACACACACACACAGGAGGAGCGCGAAGGAGAGGGATAGCGAGAACACGGAGGACAGCACAGGAGGACACGAAGGGCAGAGGGAACAGAAAGTCGGAGCAGGCGGAGAAAAGTGTAGTGATTCAAAGAGGGAGGCCTCAGCACCTAGGTCAGACCTCAACCCTTACCTGTCCTGCGAATGGCGACAAAAAAACGATTCGAGGCATGTAGGTGTTACACTCCTCCATTGCCTGAAATTGTCACTGCCACATCGCTGCCGGCGACACGAGCATAGGCTGGCACGCTCATCAGGCAAGGATTTCACACTCAGGCTATGGAGTCATTGTTCCCAGCATCAGGATCATCATTCTCCATATCAGTAGTCTCAGCGTCTCGCGCGTCGTCGTCCAGATTGTTGCTAATAGGATGCCCGCGACGGGCTCGGGCGATGCGGACAATAGCGGAGTGGAAGATCCGTTAAACGACTGCTTCATCCCTGACCCTCGCACTGTCAAACGCAGGGGGTATGGCAAAGGCACTCTGCCCTGACACGTCCAGGCGTATCGACCCGCTGATCTCCTGGAAGCTTACCTGCAACTGGGACCACTGCTACAGTACAGGCTGAAAATTCAGCATCCAAGCAGCTTGTTGTGCACCCGCAGCCCGTTCGGGGACGGCGTGTCGCCATGCTTCTGCGCATGGATCGATGATCCGCTCCTGAAGAATACGTAGTTGATCAGCCAGTGATGCGGAGAGGCTGAGCCTTTTGGAGTTGCTCGAGTCGCTGGGACGCACCAGGGCATCTGATCCGTGCGCGCGAGGCGTTGTCCCCATGATTGGGCAGCGGCACCCCACTTCGCAGCCAATGGAAGATGGCTGGACGCGAGCCGCTGTCTGACATATTCCACTTCTTCTGGAATGGACCCGCGTGGCATCTGTATCTGTTGAAGGGGGTCGCCCAGCGGTAGGTTACCTCCGAAGCTTCCTGGGAGGACGACGAGGAGCCCCATTTAAGGAGGGCAAGGCCCATCGTGAGGAGGATGCCACGGACCCAGCAGCAGGGCGGGTGGAACGAGAAGCGCAGGGGAGCCATAACATGACGACGCCGAAGTGGTAGCACCCTTGACGTCCCTGCCCAAGCTCCTGGGATGCACATCAGGCCAGGCGGGGAATACGTCTGGCAGGTACAAGTGCGACCCATCCAAGCTCGGTACAACTGCTCGATGTCCAACTCGGGCTCTGGTACAAGTGTGACCCATCCAAGCTAGCATCTGCGCAACCGTCTTCTTATGTGTCTCCATTTCTCGAGCTACATACGGGCGAACGGGAAACCTATGCAACCAGCATCAGCAAATGAAGGCGGCCAGATCGTAGTTCGATTGCACCAGGTCGCCCCTGTAGTGCGGGTGGCGGATGAATCTGAGCAATGTGTCGAAGTCGAAGGGTCGCTTACAGAGCTCAATATGAACACCAGCGTGCAATGAAAGGCGCGGGTTTGTGCCGCATCCCCAAGTCAAGCTATGCGCATGCATATCGGAGATGGTCATACTGGCATCGTTTGTTAACGCTACGGGGCCAAAGTATAGGACTGCACGAGTATTCATGTCAAGAGCTCCCTGCTCACGAATCATGGCCTCCTTGTGCAGCTTCAGCTGCTCGTCCCATTCGTCCTGGCCCAGGTACCTAAGCAGCTTAGCGGCATCCACCTGGAGTGCCTTCGTCGAGCGTTGCGCCTAGATGTGAAGGCACGCCGACAGATCTCGATCGCCATGTCCACTGCAGGTTTGCCCACGTTCTCATGACCATCTCGAGCTGCTCGCTCAGCCACCCGCGGTTGGAAAGCAGCGTATGCCAAGAAGTGAGCAATGTACGGCCGCTCCGGGCCCGCGTCCGTCAGAAAGGGAAACCTTGCTGCGGGCACTGCCTGGACTCGAGATCCTCAAAATTTCACCAGGCGTGGGGAGAGCAAATACACGGGATGCGTCACCTGCATAACCAAGATCGTGCTACACTGCACCAATGACACAGCACAGCACGTTGAGAGAGAAAACATAGACATGTGCGGGTCGCGCGCCGAGCCAGACGGGTGCCCGAATGAAGGGGGGAATTGAGCGCTGGGTAGGGAGGTACACACGGTCCCATGGCCGCACAGGATGTGTGAAGGGGCCTGTGCCAGGGCGCCTGAGGACGGAGGAGGAGGAGGAGGAGGAGGGAGCAGGAGGAAGAGGAGGGAGAGGGGGGGGGGGGGAAGGAGGGCAAGGCTTGGGGCACGGTGGGGGGAGTGCAGCTCTGGCAGACCAGGCGCCCGAGAGCTGCCTCCTGGAGCCGCCCCCGCGCCTGCTGGCGGCGCTCGGCCGACCGCTGTCGGCGCCCTCCTCCCCGCGCCCGTGCCCTCGGCTCCACTGGCGCAGAAGATTCTGGACGGCCTGCCTTTCAGTGGAAGCCCATGCCAAGATACACCCTGCTGTTTGGGTCTCTTCGGTCTGCCTTCTTGCTGCTTGGGTCTTCTCTTCGTCGTCTCACGAACGGGTGGGCATGGCCATCACTTTGCACTGCTCGGGACAGGGGTCCCGACCACCTCTTCTAGGCTTGCTTGGTGGAGTCATCGTTCCATCAGTTGGGAGGCTGACAGTTTTCATCATGAAGCGTTTTCTCGATAGAAAGAAACGTCCTGCTTGCTTCCAAGGTGCCCTGGGTTTCTTGGGTTTCTTGGGTTTCGATGGTTCTACGATGAGAAACGTGACGTCCACATACAACACATCAGCGGACATCCTGGGTGTCTCAGGGTTGGGTTTCTTGTGCAACGTTTCTTGTGGTCGAGTTCCTACTGCGACCTCAACTTGCGATTCAGATACCGCCCTCTTCGGTGAAACCGTATCGCTGTCCGTCTCCTGGAAGTGATGCTCCGCACCCCGACCTCTCCGACCCCCTCAGGACTCATCAGGATTCCAATAGGACCCCATCCAGGTGCAAAGAGCAGTCCGATCAGATGAGTTCCAATTCGGGTTCCAATTGGTTTCTAATCTGTGTTCGAATGACATTCCGATAAGATCCCAAGAGGGTCCGAATCGGATTCCAACTGGATGCCAATCCGATTCCGGTAGGACTACACTCGAATCCCAATGGGTTCCCAGTAGGATGCCAAGTAGTTCCAAAGCATAATCCAATAGGATTACATTTGGACTTCAAAAGTGTCCCAATACGAGCCGAAACATATCCCATGGGAGTTCCAATGGAGTTATAGTCAGATCCCAATCAGATTCCAAGATGCCTGAGAGTTTCAACACGGTCCCAATCAGATCTCAATGGCAATTCAATTGGATCTCCACAGGACTCGAATAGGATCACAATCGGATTCTATCTGGAAGTTCAGGGGACTCTACAGGCTTACGCCACATCCGCCGACCCCTTCTGTGAGTGTTGCGAGGCCAGGAGTTTCTGGCCAGCGGCGTCTTGTGTGAGGGTGCGGTGTCGCGCGCGGGTGGTGGCAGATACGTAGGGGGTCCAAATGTTTGCGTGATGCCGGTGGTCTGGGGCGTGCTTTGCGAGCGCTTTGCGTGCTGTGCACCCGGGTGCGGGGTGTCCTTCTGGGAGGTCGGCCTTTCGACCCGCAACCAAGTGGAGGAGCACTGGAAGACGAAAGGAGCAAGAGTAGTGTGTGGAAGCTGTGATCAGCGAAGCATCACAGCGAAAGATGTGGCAGATGAATCGAAACGGGTGAAGAGGCTGTTGACGTTCGCAGCGCGCACGAAACAGTTCGCGCGGCAGCAGCACATTAGCGCCGAGCAAGATAGTGAGCACGTCGCGAGGAAGAGTAAGGTTGTATGCGCGGAGTGCATTGCAGTTGGCGTGACGGCTCGCAATACGGAAGCGTCTGGGGGTCTTTGGGGGGCCTCCTGGGGGCCTCTTGTGGGCTCCTTGGGGCGTCTTGGCGGTTTCTTGAGGGCCGTTGGCGGCCTGTTGGGGCGCTCTTGGGGCCCCCTGGGGCTCGTGGGGGCGGAAAGCTAGATTTTTGAATTGTTGGTTGCCCTCTTGGGCCCCTCTTGGTGCCGTCTTGGAGCCTTCTTGGGCCGTTTTGGGGACCTCTTGGGCCGTCTTGGGGCCATATTGGACCGTCGCGGGGCCGTCTTGGGGGCCTCTTGGGCCGTCTTGGGGCGGTTTTCGGGGCCTCTTGGGCCGTCTAGGAGCGTCGGAAAGCCCAGAAGGCGGATGTGTGAACATTGTACGTTTCACGACGGGAATACGTACATGTCTGCGTCCAGGGACCGTCTTGGGACGCATCTTGGGGGCCTCTCAGGGGCGTGTTGGGCCATCTGGAGGCCATTTCGGGTGTCTTCGATCGCTCTTGGACCGTGTGGGACCATGTTGAGCTCTCTTGGAAGCCACTTGGAGCGCTCTTGGGGCCGTCATCGGGGCTCTCTTGGGCCGTCTTCGGCGCCGCTTGAGCCGTCTTAGCGCCTTGTTGGGCTGTCTTGGGGCCCTCTTGGAGGCCGTCTTGGGCCGTCTTGGGGCGGTCTTGGGGGCCTCTTGGGCCGTCTGGGAGCGTCGGAAAGCCCGAAAGGCGAATTTGTGAAAAACGCACGCTTTACGAGGGGTGCGGGCTAATTTTTGCGTCTAGAGGCCCTCTTGGGACGCATCTTGGATGCCTCTTCGGGCCTCTTGGGGGGCATCTTGGGCCGTCAGGAGGCCATCTTCGGTGTCTTTGATCGCTCTTGGGCTGTCTGGGACCAGATTGAGCTCTCTTGGAGGCCACTTGTGGCGCTCCTGGAGCGCTCTTGGGGCCCTTTTCGGGGCCCTGTTGGGCCGTCTTGGACGCTTGTTGGGCCGTCTTGGGGCCCTCTTGGGCTATCTTGGGACCCTCTTGGAGGTTTCTTGGGCCGTCTTGGGGCGGTCTTCGGGGCCTCTTGGGCCGTCTTGGAGCGTCGGAAAGCCCAGAAAGCGAATTTGTGAAAATTATACGTTTTACGAAGGGAATGGGCCAATTTTTGCGTCTAGGGACCCTCTTGGGACGCATCTTGGAGGCCTCTTGGGGCCTCGTGGGGACCTCTTGGGCCGTCTTGGAGGCCTCTGGGCTCGTCTTGGGGCCATCTTGGGCGTGTGGGAGCGCTCGTTTGGCGTCTCGGGGCCCTCGTGGGCCGTCTTGGAAGCCTCTTGGAGCCTTCTGGGCCCGTCTTGATCCCCTTTTGGGCCCAAGAGAGCCCCGTGGCGCGCTCGTGCTGGGCCCGGGGGGGGGGGTCAAATCTCCGGTTTGGGGTCCCTGGGGGGGGATTATGGGGGGGGGAACTATCTCACACGCCTAGAGACCCACAAGGGGTCGGCGGATTCCTAGTTATCCTTCCTGCCCGCGGCCACGGGAATCACTTGCTCTGGGATGCGGAGATGGAATAACGCGGTCGGTGCAGGGCAGGGTAATAGTCCCTAGAGTTGTCTGCTCCTCAGAGAAGCAGGAACCTTCGATAAAGCGTCCCAGACATAACCTACATATCCGCAGACTCTCCCTTCTGTTTCCTGTTCTATATGTTTATTGTCTCGACCACTCTATCTCCCATTCTCTCTTTTGCAGTACGTATGTATGTGTGTATATATATATACACTAGAACCACGCGCGCGCTTCGCGCGCGCGCTTAGGTTCTAGCCGTGGCCACGGAACAGCTCCGAAGACGGTATGAGCAGGCACAGGTCCAAGTATACGGCGTTGGTCCAGACATCCGACCTCCTCCCCGTCCTCCTCCTCTCCCTCCGCCTCCTGCCTGTCCGCCCCCTCCTCCCCCTCCTTCCCTCCCCCTCCTCCCTCCTCCTCCTCTCCTCCTCCTCCTCCTCCTCCTCTCCCTCCCTCCTCCTCTCCTCCTCCTCCTCCTCCCTCCCTCCCTCCTCCTCCTCCTCCTCCTCCTCCCTCCTCCTCCCTCCTCCTCCCCCTCCCCCTCCCCTCCCCTCCCCTCCCCCTCCTTCCCTCCCCCTCCTCCTCCTCCTCCTCCTCCTCCTCCTCCTCCTCCTCCTCCTCCTCCTCCTCCTCCTCTCCTCCTCCTCCTCCTCATCCCCTCCCCCTCCTCCTCCTCCCTCCTCCTCCTTCTTCCCTCCTCCTCTTGTCCTTCTCCTCCTCGTTCTCCTCGTCGTCCTCCTCCTCCTCCTTCTCCTCCTCCTCCTCCTCCTCCCTCCTCCTCCTCCTCCTCCTCCTCCTCCTCCCTCCTCTCCACTCTCATGGGAAAAAAGCACCAGCATGGCCCGTGGGATCTGTTTGTCGTGCACCTGTGACATGCATCTTGGGAGCCCTTCGGGGGCTTCTGGCGGCGTCTTGGGGGCTTCCGGGACGCTTCTTGGAGTCTCCTAGGGGCTTTTGGGGGCCGAAGGCCCGAAAGGTCCGTTCGGATTCCCTGTCTGGGCCACTTCTTAGAGCCGTCTTGGGGCTATCTTGGACCGTCTTGGAGGCCTCTTGGGCTGCTTGGGTCCTTCTCGGGCTGTCTTGGGGCCGCCTTGGGAGCCTCTTGGGCCGTCTTTGGGCGATCTCGGGAGCCTCTTCGGCTATCTTGGAGCGTCGGGAAGCCGAAAAGGTGAGAACCACAACAAATCTTCAAACACCATCGAAAAGCAACAATTGTGTTGCCTCTTGTGGCCCTCTTGAAAAAGCCTCTTCGGGCGTCTTGGAAGCCTCTTGGGCCGTCTAGGAACTATCTTGAGCGTCTTGGACCGATCTTGTGGCGTCTCGGAGCCCTCATGGACATCTTGGGTGCTTCCTGGGGCCGTCTTGGAGGCCTCCTGGAGGCCTCCTGGGCCGTCTGGAGGCCCCTTGGAGGCGCCATGGCGGGGGTATCAAAAAAGGGGGCCCGATGGTTTTGAGGTGGGCGGGGCCCCCGGGCTGGGGACCTGGTCTTCATCCATATGATATGTATATATATATATATATGTATACACATACATACATACAAGTATGTGCATATATATATATATATATAGATATAAGAATGTCTCGCTCTCTCTCTCTCACTCACTCCCGATCCCCCTCTTCGAGTATGATTCCTTTTTAATCCCAGTAAGGTTCCAATCTGATTTCGGCTAGATCCCCACCGGGTCCGAATAGGATATCAATCGGATTTCTGGGCGGATTTCTGGGCTCCAACAGGATTCCGTAATGATCCAGAACGCATCCCACAAGATTCCAATTCCAAATCATATCCGGATCGGATTCTAATCACCAGATTGCGTCGTCCTCGTCGTTCGCCGTCGTTGACGTCGCGTTGTCGTCATCGCGGTCGTGGTCGTGGTCATCGTCGTAGCCGGCTACTGCGGGCCCGCGCCACGCAGCAGCCCCCCCCCACATGGGGCATCGGCAGCGCGTCGTCGTCCGTCGTCGCTTCGGTGGCTTCGATGGT